CGGTCTCCAAACTCCCCATTCCCCCCCCCTCCCCGCGTCAGTAAGAGCGACTCAAACAACTTACACGTTAGACCACCGGGCAGAAATGACACCCTTTCTCCCTCCCGCCCCCCGAAGCGTCGTACCAAGCCTCTGATCCTGCATGAAAACACAAGGGTTACTGATCACACAGTTTAAGGTAGATTTCATATTTATTTAAATATTTATCAAGTACTCAAAAATGTATTACACTTGAGCATACAAAATGAATCCAGTTTCTAATCAGGATGATTGAAATCCTTGTATTAGACATTTAACGTTTTTTTATGTTCTCTGTACTGTCGACATGGTTTGTCTCTATAGCTGAGCTTGCTCAGCGTGGGCTGAGATGGTGAGGAAGGAGGAAAAAGAAGGTTATGTTAAGAAAACATTAGGGTTTGGAGTAACTGTCATGCAAACCAACTTGTCTTTGTCAGACTAAAAATCTCTGTATATTCCAGTTGTTAAGGGTTTTTTTAAGCGAGCCTTTGTCTTGTGCTGGCCGGGAGCACTAGAGAGCACTTGGTCTGGAGCAAAAACAACCCTTTCCAATTTTTTTTTCCTTCTTCTTCTTCTTCTTCTTTCTACTTTTCCCCAAGAAATAGCCCACGTTTCTAGCTTTCACCACCTTCTCCCCCGTAAGTTACAAAAGGAAGAAAAGAGGGAGTGAAGAGAGGGAAGTCGACAGAAAATAAGGAACACCATTCGTGCAATTTCACAGCAATATCCCCTCAATGTATGCCTCCTGCAGCATTTTTCAATCGTTTTGACAGCAGACACTGATAAATAATGGTCATACTTGACTTGTTAAGCAAAAAGCGTCCCTTTTATCAGGAGCTTATACATAAAGTACAGGTCACTTCAACAATCTCAACAACGAGGCTTTGGTATACAGCACTTTCTTTTTATTATTTTTAAAAAATAATAGAGCTCAGCAAAAAGCCTGAGCTCCCAGTTCTTTAGATGTCTTAACGTTATGTCAGATCATGCCTAGAGTAATATCACTTTTCAGGGCAAGGGATGGGGTGGGCCGAAAAAGAGAGTTTCTAACGTTATCGATTGAAAGCTAAGGCATCCAACTAGCCCTGATATAGTTGTTGAAACGGAAATTTACAAGCTGGTCGTTAATACTTGCAATAAAATAACAAACTCCTTTTATTCACTAACGACCTGCTTTGCATGCAATATTTTATTTCAGGTATTTTAGCTGCTAACTTGTAAATATTTAAAAGAGGGAAATTTGTTCATTATTTAATATTAATATTATTATTATTTTGTCTATTCCAAACGCTTATTTAGTGACATAGTCCTGATAATATAATAATCCTACATATGGCGCTTTTATTTTACATAATATTTAAGAAAAAAAAAAAAAGACAAAAACCACATAGAATTAGACATATAATTCAAAGACCACGGTACAACCTTTTCTTTTTTTCTTTTTTTTTTCTTTTTTTCTTTTACTTCAGCAAACAAAAAAATAGTCAAATGACATGAAAAGTGGCAAGTTTTCCGATAATAAATAATAAATTACTTTATAATTTTGCAATGCAAGAGCAAACAAAAAGAATTTTTTTTTTCCTTTTTCCTTTTACTTTTTTTTTTTACTTTTAGAGAGAGAGAGAGAGAGAGAGAGAGAGACGTTTTAACCAATGACTATACACATCTTTGGGGGAGGGGAAGGTTCTTGGACGGACACATTTCAAACACAATCCCGAGACGCTTTGTGGCAAAATAGAGGTATACCTTGTTGCAATGCTTTTATAAATTGGTTTTTAAAGAGGAATTCAAAAACCTATTTTTAATCGCTTCAGACTTGATAGAGGGTGGATCTCAACCAAACAAAACCAAAACCCCGCTACAGTACATGCTAGAAGAGACCCAGGAAACAACCTCTTGTTAAGAATCAACTAAAAACAACATTGCAAACCAATGCAGCTCCACCTTCCTGCAATGAATCTTTCAACAATGCAGGGCTAAATCGTCTCTTTCCTGATGATGGAAAACCTACTGGAGCTCCTTTTGGCAAGGCAGTCACCAATATAGAAACAGCACCATTCGGATTGGGAGGGACCGGATAGAAAGTCCCTCTACCTTGGTTTCTCCCTAAGATGTGCAGTCAAATGAAAAGATTTTTTTTTCACTTTTTTTTTTTTTTGAGATCCACGAGTACAAATCCTTTACGTTTTGAAAACGTCTTTTTGATCCTCCTCTGATCATTGAATCGCGCTTTTTTGGGTGGTTTGTTTTTTTTTTTTTAGTATTTATTCTAGTAAGATCCCATGATTGTCTTCACAGTGTTGCTACCATATTACCTTGTCTTTTCAAACATGGCTCCGTTCATTTCATGGAGTGGTTCCTTGCTAGGTTCATTACAGGGCTGTTAAATACTTTTTCCCCTTAAATTTCGGAGTCCCAACGTGATCGCTTCCCCACTTTCTCCAACAGGGCTGAGGGTAAGGGCAGAAACAACAACAACAGAAATCTGAATGAATGTTCCTCATGCCTCAATAGGACTGGCTACCATGCTGTTGGGTGTATCTGGCAGCTGAGAGGACATTGATGCTACTTCACTTCCAGTAGAATTGGAACCGGGTCCTCCTTCTGAAAAATTAACCTGCCAAAAAAAAAAAAAAAAAAAAAAAAGAAGAAGAAGAAAAATAAGAAAAAGAAATGTTGTTACAACTGTAACAATCAAAGAAAAGTAGCAGGCAAAGGCAAAGAAGAACGCAAAAATAAATACACAGACATGCAGCTGAACGGCCTGATACATCTCCACGGGAGGCTGTGTCACTGTTTGTTGCTTTGTTTAGCTTCCCCGTTGACTTCACAGGAGTTTTCTTCAGGCCTTGGGACAACTCACCAAAAAAAAAAGCGGGTTAAAAAAAAACTTAAAAAAAAAAAGACTGAAAAATAAAGCAAATAAACAAACTTATTAATGACACCATCTTCCCTGTCTTGCAAGAGTGGCAATCCCAACAGGATGTTCTAGTCAATTATTTAAGAGTGCATGTGTTTTTTTGACACAAAACTGCAAGGTTATTTTTTTCCCCTTTCGTGCACATACTAAAATAAACCTGGAACGAGCATCCAGGAGCAGAAGGCATTTGAAACAAGCCATCCTCTTTCATTTGTGATTTGAAGCGGGTGCTATCTCTTTTTAACGAGAGTCAGTTTGATAAAAAAGGTCACACTTCTCCATCCTAATGTGCCCCGTGGCTCCCGTTAGTTTAGGAGCAGCGTTGGGAAAAGGCATGATTTGAAGGGTGGAGCTTTGCTAATCCAAAAGCATTTCTTTGGCACCTATTTAGCTGGCCGATCCTGTGATTAAGGCCCTTTCCAGATTACAGACGTGCCTTGAATGGTCGATGAACTGTCTGTTCCATCCACAGTTCTTTATTTTAACTCTTTTCAGTGTCAGACATTATGTCCAATATATATCAATATTCATCTATCTAATGATCTATCTACCTATATGCATGTGTGTATTTGCTCTATCCATCTTCAGAATGGATAGAGACAGCCTTTTTTTTTTTTTTTTAGAACTACTCCATACAAAAACTCACTGCATCGAAGGTTTTTAAAGTATCCTATTCTGTTAAGGCAAAATAAGTAAGGCAGCTGAAAGAGATCACTTTTCTTGGGTCTGCTTGACAGCTTGATTAAAGCAGGAAAACGGGTGGCTGCTATAGAGGTAAGCTGCTGCTGCGCTACAGCTTCCCGAGCGAGCATGGTGTGCCAGGGGAGGGAAGCACGCTGCAGCCTGCCACTGGGCAAAGGAAAAGCGATCCTGCAAGAGAGAGCAATACTAAACTGAAAACAATTCTAGACATGGCTACAAACCTTTGCTTCATGTCGAAAAAATGCCCAACAGATCAAAAAAGGGTCTATATGTTAATTTTTCATCATTAATTATTATTTTGAATCACTGAAAAACCATACACAACATACCTTATTATTTTAAAGTTCTGGTTTTAACACACTTAGGCCAGGAAATTGAGTTAAGGCTGAACTTCTGTCCTTAATTCACCTTGTTGGGCCTAAGTATTGTGGATGGTATGGTCCCATATGAGCTGCCAAATGACGTAGGCATAAGGAAGTGAGTTAAGAACAGAATTTATTCTAAAAGATCTGTTTTCTTTCGGCTTAAGGCAGTTTATCACATTGTTTGAATTTTCCACATGAATATGTACTATCAATTCCCTTTCCAAAACACAACATTTAATGTAAGCTATATAATGCATGTATTTGTGTGTATATATGTATAGATAGATATATAAAGTTGTATCTAGAGGCATATACTTAAAACAAGGACTTAAAAAATTTAACTAAGCTCTTCATGTTTGTGTGACAAAACAAGGACACAGGCTGACATTGCAATCGTGTTTAAAATCCACCCTGTCGCATAAAGGCAAAATTGGCCCGGGCATGCAGCTACGACACATGAAGAATGTCTTAGTTCTCTGGATAGAGATGCTTTCAGTTTTCAGGAGTGTGTGATTAGTCTCAGACCTGGGTCGGGCCTTATCCAGCTCCCACTCCCACTGGCAAGAGCTCCGCTGTGTGCAGCTAAACGACACATGAAGAATGTCTTAGTTCTCTGGATAGAGATGCTTTCAGTTTTCAGGAGTGTGTGAGCCGAGTTAGTCTCAGACCTGGGTCGGGCCTTATCCAGCTCCCACTCAACTCGGCAAGAGCTCCGCTGTGCACTCAGGTAGGTTTTGCACCAAGCCCTGTTAAATCAATTCAGTTCGCCGCATTTACAGTGTGCCATTACGCCCACCTTGCAATTTCGGGAAAACCCGGCTAGTCTGGATTGCTCATCTCTCTGAGGGCATCCGGCACGTTTAGAGAATCCCCTATTGCTCTGCCCCGAGTGCAGGCTGGCCTGCACCGGCTGGGAACCGACACTTACTAGTTGCTGAAAAGCAGGTTGGTCTATGTCACTCTGCAATGCGAAGTCACTCAGTACTTTCCAGGGTGGCTGGTAACTCTGCACCTCCACCGGGTTCGCCTGTAAACCACCGTCATGTCTCTCCGGACTAGCAGCCACCATCGGAGTTCCTGTCATCCCTTGGATATTCTGTAAACAGCCCAGCAAAAGATGTTAATGAGCTTGGTTAACTTTATTGTATATAAGCGCTGAGTCAATAAACTGCTTTCTATCTTATCTATACAGTCGCTTGTATTTGCTTTGTTAATCTGCTGTGAATGTCTTACTCTATTCTACTCTAGGTCAGCCTATTTCTGCCCGCTGCATTTATCACGGTGGAAGTTTACTTTCTTTCCTTTTAATCCTCCTATTTCTCTCAAGGCATACCCCCTCCGCCCCAAGCTTTCTTAAACACGAGCATTCTGTATCTTGGCTGCCGATGCACAGCTCGGCGCAAGAAACGGTTAATCATGCTGCCTTTCTATGTCGCATCCAGGCTGGTTTTGTTCTGCGTGACCTTAACTGGATCGTATATCCACTGCACGGCAAACCTGGGGTACGTCAGTACCGCGCTCTTTCAAAAAACAAAAAAAAAAAAAAAAGAAAAGAAAAAAAGAAAACCCCAGCCCTCTCACTATGCCCTGTGGTGCAGACACTGTGCAGGTTGGTCTATGTCACTCTGCAATGCGAAGTCACTCAGTACTTTCCAGGGTGGCTGGTAACTCTGCACCTCCACCGGGTTCGCCTGTAAACCACCGTCATGTCTCTCCGGACTAGCAGCCACCATCGGAGTTCCTGTCATCCCTTGGATATTCTGTAAACAGCCCAGCAAAAGATGTTAATGAGCTTGGTTAACTTTATTGTATATAAGCGCTGAGTCAATAAACTGCTTTCTATCTTATCTATACAGTCGCTTGTATTTGCTTTGTTAATCTGCTGTGAATGTCTTACTCTATTCTACTCTAGGTCAGCCTATTTCTGCCCGCTGCATTTATCACGGTGGAAGTTTACTTTCTTTCCTTTTAATCCTCCTATTTCTCTCAAGGCATACCCCCTCCGCCCCAAGCTTTCTTAAACACGAGCATTCTGTATCTTGGCTGCCGATGCACAGCTCGGCGCAAGAAACGGTTAATCATGCTGCCTTTCTATGTCGCATCCAGGCTGGTTTTGTTCTGCGTGACCTTAACTGGATCGTATATCCACTGCACGGCAAACCTGGGGTACGTCAGTACCGCGCTCTTTCAAAAAACAAAAAAAAAAAAAGAAAAGAAAAAAAGAAAAACCCAGCCCTCCCACTATGCCCTGTGGTGCAGACACTGTGTACAAAATAACTCGGAGCCTCGACGAATAGATTGTTCAGGCGAGTTAATAACATCGTGTTTTATTGCATTCCAACAGGGTAAAATGAAACTTCTTAAATTCCACTTAACTAGGCAGCCTTGTGAATTAATAGTCATTCTCAGGTCAGTCAATATACACAGGGAGAATAACAGACTCTTCTTCACGTGGACTAACAACAACAGAAAAAAAAAAAGTTGGCTTAAAATGGAGACAGCCAGTTTGCTCTGTTGAACCCAGCGCTTTCCACTTGTTTGCATCACACGTGCATATGCCCACAGACAAAAAATCAATATATTTCTGTGCAAGAACTAGATATATTTTAAGTAACCTGTAAACACGATAGTAATTCCAAAAACTTTGCATTGCATTTGTCTTTTTCTACAGTAAGTGCACTGACAAACACACACATACACATTGTATTATATAAAGTGCTAAGAAAATACATCAAATTTCCCTTTTACTCATGGGTTTTACTTCTGGGTTTACTCCTGTGTAAAACCATTGAAGAGGGCGAAAGAGTCATTTTCCCCTCAAGGAGCCCTTTGCATTTGCAATATAAATATTACACAAGGCTGGGCTTATTACATCCCATAAGCTCTGCAGGTCGCAATTCATGCTGCAGAGAAGTTAATCCACTGCGTATCCTTAGCCCCACAAAAAGACATGTGTTCTCTTGAGCTGCCTATATCGGCTTCTCGCTGTGGTCTGTTTTAATTGCACTGACATCAGAAACAAGTGGATAATAGTTAAACGGTATAATTTTCTTTGCTTTAAGGGGGCTCCCACAAAATCAAAAGCGTCAAACCGACCCCAGAGGCTGGCCGGGCTGGACACAGCCCAGGCGTTGCTCTTTGGGAAGGAAGGCAGCGCACGGTCAGAGGCTGAAGCCACTTACAGTTTTGTCATTGGGTTGCTGCTGCTGAAGTTGCTTCATCATAATGCTCCTTTTTTTGTCCTTGCACCGTTTGTTTTGAAACCAAACCCTGATGACCCTCGGGCTGAGGCCAGTCATTTCTACCAGTTGCTCTTTCATGAGGGCGTCAGGCCTGGGGTTGGCAGCGTAGCAGGTCCTCAAGGTGTGAAGCTGTTTTTCATTAAGGACAGTTCGGACTCGGGTGGTCTTCTCGGGCTGCTTGTGGACGTGGGGTCGCAGAGCTGGCTGTCTGGCAGAGATAGGTTCTGCTGTAAGGGAAGGGAGGAACAGCATCCCCATGAGTAGGAAGCAGGGAGTCTGCAGAGGCTAGACTCCTTCATTCAGCTATGAATCTAAGCTGGTGGGACAGGGGGAGGCGGGGGTGTGTGTGTGATGAACCCTCTTTCAAAGGCCGTTCAAGCAGTCAGATCTACCAGAGCTCCTGCAGCCTCCTCTGCTTTATGCACTGGTGGAGTGAGAGGACTGACATTTCTGACTCCACAGATAATTAATTTGCAAAAACAAACCACCCCCCTAAAACCCTTGACGACAGAAGCTTGAACCTGTATGAGACTTGACAGGGGAGGGCGAGTTCGCTAAGGTGTGTGTGCGCTAGGAAAGGAGGGGGAGGGTTTTATGTATTTGTTTCCTGACAAATCACCAAACCAGATTTTTGGCCCGAAAATTAATGAAAGAATGTTCTTAAATTAATCACAATTCGGATCTGCTTCTTGTATACTGAATCTAGCTCAGTTTAGCCAGAGGCCGCGATAACGTGCAACAGCTCCAGGCAGTTTGATGCTTCCAAATCAAAGCAAAACAAGCCAAATCCACCGCACCGTGACCGTGGAGGAAAGTCCTGTGAGAGCCCCATATCCCAGAGCTTGGAAGACGGAGGTCTATCTCAGAAAGTGGAGGTGCTAGATTAATTTGTGTCGACTTTTGATGAATACTTTAAAAAATATGACTGTTTCGCCAATTCTTTAAAAGGGGAATAAGCCTAGCAATTTTCCTCATGGAAACTGCCAAGAAATGCAAACCTACGGGTAGCGTCACATCAAAAGCTGAAAGTATTCGTGTAAGTCTGCGATTCTTCTGTGCGTTGTGTAGCTGTAGCTATCTAGATGTAATTTGACCCAGCCAAGGGAAAAATAAAAATACTAGGGTGTTTGGGGTTTTTTTGTTAAAACTCTGGTTAGCTAATATTCAGAATTTTTTGGTTTTGTACAGTCGGGTTCCGACTTTTCTGCTATAACAATAAATCAGCAAATGCGATGAAGACAATACGAAGGCTTCAAATATTAGCAGTATTGTACCTGCTGACACAATATGCCTTTCGGAGGCATGCACAAACACACTATAGGGAGCACGCACGATCTCTCTAAAATTCTGCCATGATTAGCTACGGGATTATTTCTCCCTGTATATAGATATGTCACCTGAAAGCAGCTCAGAAGCGGGAAACGAGCCCGTTTAAACATAGCTGTGTTGTAAATAACCTTTCAAGTTGCAGTTACTTGCAATACAGCAATAACGCCGGCCAACCTTCTATTGTCCAGCCTAGTTTGCCTCAGAGACGTGCCCCTTCCTAAAGCTAAGCGTCTCTGAGTATCTGATATACCCGTCGAGAACTAGAAGTGTAAGTAAACTTGTAAGGTGGGGCGACTCTGAAGTTTTAAGATGAAATTCTCATCAAATCACATAAAACGTTTCAAGAAGGCAGAGTCACTTTAAAAGGCAATTACCGAAGATTAGCTTGTTGACAGTTTTAAATTACAGCCTAAGTGCTCGCCTGTAGTTATGAAGTCTATCTCTTTTCGGACCCCGCTTCCACCAGTGCTTAGAACGGCTTTTCCACATGCTCCGGAGGCAGAGGGGTCTGTACCTTGCCGCAGACCTGCTCCCTGCAGCGGCTCGTCCTTCTCCGACCCAGGCTCCCGGCTGCCCCGGGC